TCAGCCTGACTGGGAGGGAATGGCAAAAGCACCCTATTGTGACTTGTCCAGAGTCTCCATGCATCCTCTGCATAGACTACCTCAAGAGAGGGTACTTCAAAGACCCAAAAGGGTACCGGTGGGCTTTTGGTATTGCTGCTTTGGCGACTGAGGAAATTGAGCAGCTGTCCACCTTGCCTGGTCTCTCAGAGGATCCTTCTGTTGTGGGGTTGCTGAAAGTCGAAGAACAACAAGTGCCAATTGCGACCACAACAGTGCACCGGCGGCAATATCGCACCAACCGAGACTCCCTGATTCCCATCCATCAGCTGATCCATAGACTGGAGAGTCAGGGAGTGATCAGCAGGACCCGCTCGCCCTTTAATAGCCCCATATGGCCTGTGCGAAAGTCTAATGGAGAGTGGAGACTAACAGTAGACTATCATGGCCTGAATGAAGTCACACCACCATTGAGTGCTGCAGTACCGGACATGCTAGAACTTCAGTATGAACTAGAGTCAAAGGCAGCCAAGTGGTATGCCACGATAGATATTGCCAATGCATTTTTCTCAATTCCTTTGGCAGCAGAGTGCAGGCCACAGTTTGCTTTTACTTGGAGGGGCATCCAGTACACTTGGAACCGACTGCCCCAGGAAACACAGCCTTACCACCTGCCATGGACTGATCCAGACTGCACTGGAACAGGGGCAAGCTCCAGAACACCTGCAATACATTGATGACATTATTGTGTGGGGCGATACAGCGGAAGAAGTCTTTGAGAAAGGGAGGAAAATAATCCAAATCCTGCTGAAAGCTGGTTTTGCCATAAAACGGAGTAAGGTCAAGGGACCTGCAGAGGAGATTCAGTTTTTGGGAATAAAATGGCAAGATGAGTATCGCCAGATCCCCACAGATGTGATCAACAAGATAACAACGTCTCCACCAACTAATAAGAAAGAAACGCAAGCTTTCTTGGGTGCTGTGGGGTTCTGGAGAATGCATATCCCAAATTACAGTTTGATTGTAAGCCTTCTCTGTCATGTGACCCGGAAGAAGAATGATTTTAATTGGGCCCTGGGCAACAACAAGCCTTTGAGCAAATTAAACGCGAGAGAGTTCCCATAGTAGCCCTTGGACCTGTCCGGACCGGGCCAGACGTAAAAAATGTACTGTACACTGCAGCTGGGGAGGATGGTCCTACCTGGAGCCTCTGGCAGAAAGCTCCAGGGGAGACTTGAGGTCGACCCCTCGGCTTTTGGAGTGGGGGATACAAAGGATCTGAGGCCAGCTATACCCCAACTGAGAAAGAGATACTGGCAGCCTACGGAGGGGTTCGAGCTGCTTCGGAAGTGATTGGCACTGAAGCACAGCTCCTCCTGGCATCTCGCTTGGCCGTGCTGGGCTGGATGTTCAAAGGCAGGATCTCCTCTACACATCATGCAACTGATGCTACATGGAGTAAATGGGCTGCACAAATTACACAACGAACTCGAATAGGAAATCTCAGTCGTCCGGGCATTCTAGAAGTGATCATGGACTGGCCAGAGGGCAAAGATTTCAGAATGTCACCAAAGGAGGAGGTGATGCGTGCTGAAGAGGCCCCACCATATAATAAACTGTCAGAAAGTGAAAAGCAGTATGCCTTGTTTACTGATGGGTCCTGCCATACTGTGGGAAAGCATCGGAGATGGAAGGCAGCTGTATGGAGTCCTGGACGACAAGTTGCAGAAACTGCTGAAGGAGAGGATGAATCGAGTCAGTTTGCCGAGGTGAAAGCCATCCAGCTGGCCCTGGACATTGCTGAACGAGAAAAGTGGCCAGTACTTTATCTCTATACTGACTCACGGATGGTGGCAAATGCCCTGTGGGGGTGGTTGAAGCAATGGAAGCAGAGCAACTGGCAACGCAGAGGTAAACCCACCTGGGCTGCTGCACTGTGGAAAGATATTGCTGCCCGGGTGCAGAACCTGGTGGTGAAGGTATGTCATGTAGATGCCCATGTACCCAAGAGTTGGGCCACTGAGGTACACCGGAACAACCAACAAGTGGATAAAGCGGCTAAGATTGAAGTGGCTCAGATGGACTTAGATTGGCAACAGAAAGGTGAATGATTTTTGGCCTGGTGGGCCCATGACACTTCAGGCCATCAGGGCAGAGATGCAACATATAGATGGGCCTGTTATTGAGGAGTGAACTTCACAATGGACACTATTGCCCAGGTTATTCATGAGTGTGAAACGTGCTGCAGTTAAACAAGATAAACGGTTAAAGCCTCTTTGGTATGGAGGACGATGGTTGAAGTATAAACATGTGGAGGCCTGGCAGATTGACTATATCACACTGCCACCAACCCGCCAAGGCAAGCGCCATGTGCTTACCATGGTGGAAGCAATGACAGGGTGGCTGAAAACATACTCTGTGCCCCATGCCACTGCCCAGAACACTATCCTGGGCCTTGAGAAACAGATTTTGTGGCGACACGGCACCCCAGAGAGAATCGAGTCAGACAGTGGGACTCACTTCCAGAATAACCTTATAGATATTTGGGCCAAAGAGCAAGGCATTGAGTGGGTATATCACATCCCCTACCATGCACCAGCCTCTGGGAAAATCGAACGGTACAATGGGCTGTTAAAAACTACACTGAGAGCAATGGGTGGGGGAACTTTCAAGCATTGGGATACACACTTACCAAAGGCCACCTGGTTGGTTAACACCAGAGGATCTGCCAACAGGGCTGGCCCAGCCCAGTCAGAACTTTTACATATTGTAGAGGGGGACAAAGTTCTCGTGGTGCATATGAAGAATTTGCTGGGGAAGACAGTCTGGGTTATTCCTGCTTCAGGTAAAGGCAAACCCACTCGTGGGATTGCTTTTGCTCAGGGACCTGGATATACTTGGTGGGTAATGCGGGAAGATGGGGAAGCCCGATGTATACCTCAAGGGGATTAGATTTTAGGGGAAAACAGCCAGTGAACTCAACTGTATGCTGTTGCCTGCTGTGTAATACTTTTATAGCCCATCAGCTAGATGTCTTCAGGTCACCAGCATCTAGCCCTGACTTCCCTCCAACCATCATCCCAACAGAGAATGAACTTTGATAGAACCAGGTGAGTTCCGCATTAAAGGAACTACCAGCATCAGCAGGCAACGATCCAGTACTGCACACAGCCTATCCTGCACTCAAAGATTCCTGACATCATGGACCGAATGGACTCGGTAGCATTACAGGGATTGGTCCATGCACTAAGAAAATGATCTCTTGGTCTGTTTATATGGATGTATATATGTGGGAGAGCAATGGTGTATTGAAAATGTGGGATCTGAGCATGACATGAATGGTATGGAATAAGGGGTAGATAATGTCCTGGGTTGACTTCCAGCCTGGGAACAGTGCTGGTGATACCAATGTTCTTGGTTGTTGCTAAGTGATGTTTACCCTGACCAAGGACTTTGTGAGGGGAGGAGGGGAAGCCTTGAGGAAGTGGAGACAGGACGCCTGACCCAGCCTAGCGAAAGAGGTATTCCATACCACAGCACGTCATGCCCAGGGGCAGGGGGGGTAACTGGGAGTTAGCCGGAAGGACAAGGGCTTCTGGGTCGGACTTGTTTCTTGGCCGGTGGTATTGTATTCTCTTCCCTTGTTATTTTCTCTTATTGTTGTTGGTGGTGGTAGCGGTGGTAATTTGTGTTGTACGTTGGTTGCTGGACTGTTCTTGTCTCAACCCGTGGGAGTTGCACTCTTTCGATCCTCCCCGTTCCTCCGGGAGCGGGGAAGGGGAGAGCCTGGTGTGGGAGGGGGGGGGCGGCCTCGGTTCCTTCCAGCCTGGCACCACTCAGTGGGAGTGAGCGAACAAGCTGTCTGGCTAGGGTTTAAACCACGACACCATCTCATGATCACTGCAACCAAGGCCGCCCTGGAGCATCACATTTCCAACCAGCCCTTCCCCACTGGTTAGCATGAGGTCAAGCATGGCACCTCTCCTTGTTGGCTCCTCTATTACTTGAAGAAGGAAGTTGTCTTCTGCACAATCGAGGAACCTTCTGGATTGCTTGTGCTGGGCTGTACCGTCCTTCCAACAGATGTCAGGGTGGTTGAAGTCCACCATGAGGACAAGGGCCTGCGAGTGTGAGGCTGATCCCCACAGTAATGTCTCCCATAGGTGTTCTCCCTTTAACCCTGACCCACAAACTCTCTGTTAACTGATCATCTGTTCCCAGAGAGAGTTCCATACTCTCCCACCTATCCCTAACATAAAGGGCAACTCCCCCTCCCCGTCTGCCAGGCCTGGCTTTTCTAAAGAGCCTAAATTTAGTACTATTGAGAATAATGCTATTATGAAATTATGTGTCTTCTGTCAATGACAGGTTTAAATAACAAAACAACTTATACACGCTATTTCTGTGATAGTTAATTGCAGACATACTTAGATGCAGGGACTTCACTTTGAGTATTTAAGACCAATAGATGGATAATAGTGTAGGCAGTTTGCAATGTTTCTTCTTGACTACTGGCTTTTTGTAGCATTTTCCAGGCCTCTTTCATTATGCATGTTCTTCCCCTCTGCCCCTAGTCCAAGTCACGTTAAGCATCTGTTTATATTCTGTTTAACTCAGTGGGATATAAAGCTATCCTTATGTGCTGTGTAGTAATGGGATGTTGGATTGGCATTTCAGAGTTGTCCCTTCTGATGTCTTGTTGATGTGTGGTCTAATACCCACTATATTTCTTCTCAATAGAGATGAAATAATTAAACTGTATGTATTGCACTTTAGTGATCCTTTATGATGTGCAAGATGATGTATTAATGGGAAATTGCTATTGGAATACTGTTGGTGGTCCAGTAACTGCAGAAGTTCAGATTAATCGCATGAAATAAGGTTTTTCAGTAGATGTTAGCCCCTTTGAGTGGTTCCTGTAGTACTGGAATTAGTATTAACATATATTTGAATTATGTGCTTTCCCATCAATAATTACATGATTCTACAATTCTGTAATGGACAAAATCCTTCTCTTTCAGGAAGGAGTAAGGTTCTTTGTAGTGGATTGTCGTCCTGCAGAGCAATACAATGCTGGGCATTTATCAACAGCATTTCATTTAGACTCAGATTTGGTATGTATGCTTTTTATTTCCTTACTGATTTTTAATTCCTGAGTTAAACAGAAGGAGAAAGAAATATCTGTCTTGAAAAAATAACTATCTTTAGTTTAGGCTCTGTACTGCAGTGCCTAGCTGTGTGATGAGGTTTCAAAAGTTAGCTTCCCTAAAGGAGCTTGGTAAAACTATTTTACTGAGAAGTTTAGTCCTTAATGACATTAGAACTTGGGATTCCAGACTTCCTGTTTTTTGGTTAGAAATGGAAACCCATACTGCCTAAAGCCTTGCTTGGAGGAGAAACCTCTTTTTAGCATTGTAATTTCTACTGAAAGGTGTCATTAATTTTAACAAGTAGAGTTTTTTAATTTTCTTTTTTTTCCCCAGCCAGTCTTACTACAGCCTGCTTGTAAGGAGCACATCTTGAAAAGAATTTAGTTGCTCCTTTAAAATTTTTGCAGTGCAATATGAGAGAGGAAGTGCATTAATTTGTGAACTGAGATGTACTATAGACTAATTACTTCATTAACAACTTTGCTGTCATTTCCATTTGATTATTAATTCTTAACATTCAATCATGTTTTTCTTTATTATTTTTTTTCCCCCAAATCGTTTATGCTTCGGCTGTCTTACAGTGTATTCTTCACTTCTAGATTAACTCTCTACTACTCCATTTCAAGCAGCCTGTGGATGCTGCATGCAATGATTTCAGTGTATATATCCATAAAAGGCTTTTTTAACTTAGTTAGGAAACTCAATTCTGCATCTATTATCTTTATCTCTCTAATTAAAATAATGCATTATTCAGTATTCTTTGCACAAGTATAATTATATAGTAGAGAAAAAGAGGATCAGGGGAAACCTTACTGCTCTCTACAACTACCTGAAAGGAGGTTGTAGCGAGATAACTGCCTCAAGTTGCACTGGGGAGGTTTGTATTTATATTGGATATTAGGAAAAATTTCTTCACTGAAAGAGTTGTCAAGCATTGTAACAGGCTTCCCAGGGAAGTGGTTGAGTCACCACCCCTGGAGATATGTAAAAGACTTGTAGATGTGGCACTTGGGGCATGAATTAGTGGTAGAGAGTTGGCACTGTTGGGTTTACAGTTGCACTCGATGATCTTAAGGTTCTTTTCCAACCTAAATGATTCTATGATATAATGTTCTAGGTTTTAACATAGATCAAAAATTATTTTGGAAGAAACCTCCCTGCGGTGTGTGGGTGCCCTGCTAGCCTTAATTGAGCATCATATTCAATAAAGTGGAAATGAGCAATATGAATTATTAAATAGTTTAAAAACATAATAACACATGATAAAGAAGTCCATGATGACAATTCTTCAATTGGATGTGATTAGTTCATATGTATTTAAATTACATATTGGAATTAACTTCTGCAGTGTGTGAGTTGGTATGGTTAGGATCCTTCATGAACCATGCTGGATGAATGTCACCAGGTTCATCTCTGGTTTTAGAAGTTTAATGCCAGGAAAACATTGTATGGGGAATAATCTTTGAGATAAAAAATCATTAATGGAACTTCAGTGCATTTTATATACTTGTATGTGTGAAGTACATACAACTTACTTTAAGGGAAGGCAATGAGGAAAGCACTTTGGAATCCATCTCATTTAAAGGTAGTCTTAGATGAAGTAGTAAGATTTAGCACCTGTGCAATAAAGCATTAGCATTTGGCTCTACGAAAACCCCACTTAAAATTCAGTTTGACTTACTGATGGCTAGATTGTGTATTTGTTATTTTGTATTTATTCATTTGATGGCAGCGTAAAGGGAAAGTAATGTGAATTCCTCTCTTCTTTTTCCCTCCCCCAAATCCAGTTACAGGTCAATATTTCCTTATTAATTTAAAATAGCCCTTCAGGACACCACAGCCTTGACTTGTTGAGAGAGCTAAGAATCCCAGCTATTTCTTTGTACTCCTGATTGTAGTTTTGTTTTTTCCAAATCTTGATAAGTAAATGAGAAAAATACTTAGCAGTGAGACAACAAGAGGAGGACCTTACTGACACCTAGAAATTCTATGTATTTTTAAGGGTTTCAAAACTGCGGAGTTTGAATGTGTTGTACTTGAGCATATGAAATAAGGAAATCGGTCCCTCTGCCATATTGCCAACTTAATGCAACATGAAAGTTGCAAAGACTTCTTCTACTAATATTGCAAAAATACACTAAAAATTAGTTAGCTACGTTTCTTTCCTGGGGAGAGCAACGTGGAGTGAGAGTAAAAAAAAGGACCATTCTCACTCTTCTTCATGGAACATGAGGTCTCAGTCAGGCTTTTTTGTGTGCATGTATCTTGTACAATGCTGATATTGCCTTCTTTGTGCTCAACAAATGATAACAATTTTTAATGTCTCTATCTTTTCACAAGTGGTGTTACAGTATTCTGGTGTCAAGCAGCACTTTTTGTTTGTTCATTCCACAGATGCTTCAAAACCCATCAGAATTTGCACAATCTGTAAAATCCCTATTAGAAGCACAAAAACAATCTATTGAGTCTGGCTCCATAGCTGGTGGGGAACATCTCTGCTTCATGGGAAGCGGCAGGGAAGAAGAAGATATGTATATGAACATGGTGCTAGCACACTTCTTACAGGTACATCTAAATTGCTGTTGATTTTAATAGCTGAAATAAAGCATGTCTGCCCATAACATCAGTACTAAATGGCAAAATATTTTCCCCTTAAAATCTTAAGTGTTTTTACATTACTCAAGGTTACAGTTTTTATGAAATGAACCCATGTGTCATTACCACGCTTGCAAAACTCATTTCACAGGTGTTTGCTTCAACCAAAAATGCCTTTTCTGTTGCAGAAAAATAAGGAGTATGTAAGCATTGCCAAAGGAGGATTTATGGGTAAGCTTATTAATAATGAGCTTTGGCTTGAGAAAACTTGATGTATTAATGCTGTCGGTATTTTTACTAGGCTTTGGCTAAAAATCAGCTAAAGGAATAACAAATAGTTCTCATTTGTCAGTTTTTTGCTTTGTGCAAATCAGCACTGTGCACTTGCACATTTGTGGTTAACTGCTATGGCTTACTCACATTTCTGAATGGAGAAAAATTTAATACAGGATGTGGGAAATGCCCTCATTCTAAGTTCTTGTCCTTGATGTTTAGTCTCTGTAGACTGCAGATCTGTAGAAGATGTTAATTCATAATTACTATTAACTTGTTTTTTCTTAAACCATCAGTTCATAAATCTGCAGTTTGTTTCTGGAGTCATTCAGGTTCTACAACCTGATTGTGGAAAGATTTGTGCTACAATATAAGTATAGAGACATTACTAGACAGTATTTGCAGTGTCATAACAGTTATCTTTAGGATCAAACCAGTGATTAATTTTTAGTTGCTGCTGTATTTTAACGATTTTATTTACTAAAATAAAGATTATCCTAATGCCATTTCACTACTGAAAGAAAAGCCGGGGATGATTATAGTAGTATCTGGATTTATCTGTTTTATTAAATCATGTGAAGCAAAAATTGCTACTGATTAGTCTTGGATATACAGCATTTCCATCAACAGACTAGTTCCAGTGTAGTTCTGAATGTTTTTTTTTTTAATGGTCTTTTAACAGCCCTACAGCAGCACTTAGCAGATATCAATGTGGAAGGACCAGAAAATGGATATGGCCACTGGATTGCTAGTACCTCAGGCTCAAGAAGTAGCATAAACTCCTCTGTTGATGCAAGTGAATTTTAAGCTTAAGTGGTATAGTGGAATGGGAGCTGTGGGTGTACTGAATATTTTTATATTCCTTATTTTATTCTGTAAAATAGATTGCTGCAAGTCATTGTTTTCAGTTATGTATTTAATTTCCAACTATATTCACTGTCTAGCTGGAGGTGACCTAAATATTTTTATCCCCTTGAGAGGAAAAGCTTGCTGTAGTCATTATCCAGCAGAATATGTAATGGACAATTCTTTTTCCTGTCTCCTCTTCACTCTGGGAATAAATTACTATAAAACTAGCATTCAGTTTCATGGGAAAGCTCAAAATTGTCTCTTTTCTACAGCTAATTTGTTATATGTAGAATTTGGCTTTTAATTTGGATAAAATTTACTGTTAATAGAATTCCTTCCTCTAGATTTTTGCAGCAGAGTGCTTAGTTAATGAGGATTATTAAATTTGCTTTACTTTATTGGATCATCTTTAGCTCAGACACATATTATTGCTGTCATTTGGTAGAACTCTAAAATAGTACTGCTGTAATTAACGCTGTACTCGCTACCAGAAAGTAGGTTACTGTTTTATAGCCTGTTTCCTTTCTTAACAAACTAGAGATGATATATAATTATGTTTATAGGATTATCTGAGAGAAGTTACTTTTACAGGGTGATTCTCCTAATGGTTCAAGTGATGGAAAAGGAGTAAAGTCCCTGGTGAATAAAATGACAGTTGCTTTAAAGACTAAATCTGTGAATGTGAAAGAAAAAGTTATCAGTTTTATTGAAAATACATCTACTCCAGTGGACAGGTATGTCATTAATATCTCACTGTGAATTAGCAATGGGGAATGGCTTCCTGTTTCAGGTGGCTAATTTGTAAATGGGAAAACTCTGCTAATTAGGAAAAAAGTTTCAGCTTTTAGGCTTCCTATCCTCCTCATAATTTTATCATGACGCAGTAAGGCTACTGCGCTGCCTTAGTATTGAAAGATCACTGTGAGCAGCCTTTTCTCTTAAACATGCATCTCGAATTTGTCACTGCATGGTAGTTTGACTTCTTACAGTGTGTCAGTTCTGTATTGGGCCTAAAAGTCAAGAATGATTTCATTTTTATTTCAGTTCCTCTTCATACTTGACTCTTAATGGGTGAATAACAGAAAGATTCCAGACGGGGGTTTCTTTGGTTGGTTGGGTTTGTTTTGTTTTGGGGTTTTTACTGCCCCATCGTGTCAAGTATTGAAGATCTTGATATTTTTTCAAGTCCTGATGTAAAGCTGCTTTTCAAACTCAAAATCAACTTGTGTTCATTTTTTGTATCTTCAAATGAAGCTGGGAAGAAGAATGTGCAAGCATGTTAAAAGACTCTCAAAGTTGGAGGTCATCATTCCAAATACTTAGTAACAGCTTTCATCTGACAAAGCTTTACTTGAATAGCCTGTTTTAGAGTTCTTTAAAACGCAGCCTTTGGAGGTTTATGTTGCTAAGACATTGGTACACAAGAATCTTACAGAGCTGGTGTACAGGTACAAATTACTGCTTCTTTTTGTGTTGGAAAAGGATTTTTTAAAATTACTCCACAACTAGAGGCAAAAAATTCTTAAATACCACTCAGTAGTAGTTTTTGTTGTGCGGAGAATTCAAGTAAGGCTTATGTGTAAGCCATACAAAGCACGAAGAGTGCATCTTCTAGTGGAACTTTTACAGATATTTCTCAACCTCATGGCTAACTGTCATGAAGCTTTTATTTATAAGCATCCTCCTCGAAGAAGACACATTGCCAATACAGAGCCTTTCAACTATTTAGATTTTTGATTTTTTTTTTCTTTAAATTTTATTTTTTTGTTTTAATTCTTCTGTTTTATCCTCTGCCCCAATGTACTGTAGAATACCTTTCAATATTCCCTGGCCAGACAGAGCAAGCCTGGAGCGGTAAGCTTGATAATTAAGCAGTCTGACTAAACCCACCTTTGTTGTACTTAGCATGGCATTGCAATATCTGTAAGCATTGGTTACACTGACAAAATTGCTCACACATTTTTATATTAATTTAGGGAGGTTGAATATATTAAAGCTATCAGTTTTTACAAGTACTCATCAGGGAACTAGTAGAAAAAGAATGTATTGGCAGTGCTTTCTTTTCTTAGTTTCTGCTTTGTTATTTCTATTCCTTACTATTGCTTTTTATGATTTTTTTTTTTGGTTTACTTGTCATTTCCCCATATACATTTTGTTAGTGACTTGTATTAGTGAAATATACCAGGAGCAAGTATTGAACAAATTATGGCTTAAGGTCTTAGCAAGTGAGACTACAGCTACAAAAAAGACTTGCTATAAACTGTTCATAAAGCATCATCAGAGCCTAGATCTAACGGGGAACCCATGCGTAAATTCTGTCTGGAAATCTTAAAATTATATGGTTCTCATCACATGGTGATAGAACATGCTGATAGAAACAGAGGTTCTCATTACTGGAAAAATAGAAGTGCTGAGTTAATAATATGCCGTGCAACTCTCCCTCATCTTATTCACATAACTACCACATTTTCACAGAAATGTGGAGTCTCTTCACAGTCATCTGAGATTTACTGCCTTATAATTATTTCAGAAATAAAAACTGTGACTTGAGGTTGTATAAAATTCCTTACCTTTTGACTCTTACAGACTGAAAAGCATGAAGATTGGTGCTGGAAAAAATAATGAAGGTTTTAAATTTTGTTTGAGTTTTCAAGGGTTTTGGACCAATTCTTTCAAGTAGTTTGCACATAATTTGATATAAGATTTACCCATATGCATGAAAGAATAGTGTTGTGTGAGCAAAACCAACAGTAATAATGTTAACTAGTATTCTTAAAGCAGGAATATCCCAGTATCACGTAATATGTTTTGTTAATGTAGAAATCCTAAATATTATGGGGGTTTCCTCCCACATTTTATTGATCAGGTTTTAGAATATGGTTAACTTAAAACACTTGGTGAGTCTATTCTATAACTGAAAGACACTTCAATCTGTATCTAGAGCCAAGAAGTTTTGATATATTGAGATTTTATTTCAGTTATTTTATTTGTTACTTTCACTCACATAGCTTATCTTCTTTCCTTGGGAAAAGGAATATAGATCATAGATTAGTAGACTTGTTCTCTTAAAACTGAAGCTCTTAAAAGCCTCTAATGGCATTCTTTTCCCATCCATTCAATTAGATCCACTTTGTGTTTTATCACCAATATATTTCATTTTGAAGGTTTGCCACTAAAAGGAACTGCATTCAATTTATAACAATGTAATGATGGCATTCCATGTAAACAGGTTAAAGGAAATCCATTTCTAGTTTGAAATGTTACCAGATTTTTATAAAATAGCTTTTTACTTTCTCTTGCCTTGACTAACTTTGACTTGTAAACACCAGTAAGATCTTAAATCCTCTCTGTGTAATTCAATATAACACTATTTAGTTGTGCTTTCTTAGTCAATTCATTATGTATTATTAAAGCATATTCACAAAAGCCTCCATATGGAAGCACTGCCCTTTTGAATTGTCAGTGTCATTGATGCTTATTGTCTTCAACACTAATGAGCATGTTTTTATATGTTTAGTTTTTGTTTCATTGTAGAATGCATTTCTGGTTTGGGTTTGGGTGGGGCTTCTCCTATTAAATACTTTTATCTACATCACTAAAAATGAAGGTTTCTTTCTTGACTTGCAAATATGCTCTCACGTGTAAGTAAGTACTAGGAACTAGGGCACATAGTTTATAGGAAATATATATGGGGCAGAAGGTTATAGGATTTAAATGGGAGGAAGGGACAGATGTATTTTGGTTTTGTTTGTTTTGGGTTGGTTTTGTTGGTTTTTTTTTAAAGTACAACATGTTGCCAGTTCTAGAGGCTAAAATAATTTAGCCTTTAGTGATTCTTTTTTTTTCAGCAATCACCTTGTTTATGGCTCTCTGAACCTTTAGGTTTTCTTATATTCTTTAGGTATTCCCAGCAATTGAGGGCCAGAACTTTTAACCTCAGAGCTGTGACCATGTAATCACAGCACTCTGGGTTGAAGCATTAAAATATCTCAAGCTTTGCAACTGTTAATGACAAACACTAAGACTCAGTTGTGCTTTTGTGTCACTTAATATAATTTGTAGAAATAGATTTAAATGTGACTTTTGAGGTCAGTATCTATGCAGAAAGGTAGGAATTTGGCACATGCTGGAGAAAGTAATGGACAGGAAATCAGAATTCACACTACAAGGTAGGGTTTATAATAACCCCACTTCGAAGTGCTTAAGGTATTTTGTTCTGAGGAATGAAAAATGAGCTTCTAGACATGTTAGTTAATAGTTTTCATTTTCTCCTCCATCCCAATTTGGAATCCTTGTAAAGTTGTCCTGACTGTCCAGAAATGTTTCAGTTTCATGCTAGAAATTTCTCGGCATGTTGTCAGTTTTCAGGTCTCTAATGTATTTTGTCAGAAGTTGGGTTTTGGAGGGTTTGTTTTGGTTGGTTGGTTGGTTGGTTTTAAACAAAAAAGTATTTATTTTCATGTTCTTTATTACAACAGTCAGCCTTGCCAAGTAACTGAAAACATGCTTTCACTAACCAAATCGCTTGTTGGGTCAGTCACAGCTTCCTTGCAGGCAGCTGCACAAAATTCTCTCATCCTTCTCAGTTGCACAGTTGTGTTTACACTTTGCTAATATGTTATTGTATGTGTCATACCATCAGTTTGCAACTTGCTTTTCTTCTCTCACCCCATGTTCTCTCCTGCCCATTTCATTGCCAACAGACATGTAAGCAGCAGTGACAGAGTAGGAAAACCCTACCGTGGTGTGAAACCAGTATTCAGCATCGGAGATGAAGAGGAATATGATACTGGTACAGTAGAAGATTTCCTTTTACCTAGAACAGCTTATTTAGACAAATTTATTAAATTTGAGAGCTAAAAAGAGCATTTTACAACTGTCTTACAACTTGACATTTCTCTGTCATCTTGGATTGTGTTTGTTACGGCTGTGCCTAGGGCACTATACTGAAAGTATAGCTGGAGCTAGACTTTAGATGGCTAATGTGTGTGCACCTCTCCAGTGTTTTGGACTTTGCTTTTTAGCACTGAATCTATTAATAATTGATTAATCTCTTAATATGCACATAAAATGCTGTGGGAAAAGCATGCAAATTTTATTGTGGGAGGTTGGGGTTTTTTATCTAGTTGAAAAATTACAAAAAGGACACAACAAGACAAAACAGGAATTTCACACTTTTCACAAAGCGGAGGTTATTTTTGAGACCAGTGCTAACATTAGAATGGCACAGACCTGGTGCTGTCCTGGTTTGTTCTGTTAGCGTTAGCTCACTCCCAGCCGTCGTCATCTCACAAGTAACTGATCTGTGCCCAAAAGGCGTACTTGGCTTCTGTGTGAGAAACAAACAACTAGACTAAGAATCTTTGACTTGCAAAGGAAATAGTTTAGGAAGATTAATGAGATAGATTCATAGGATCTCAAGCTGTTTAAATAAGAGTGATGACAAACAGCTGATCATTATTTGTCTACTGTAAGAACTTGGAAGGAGCAAAATGGAACTATCTGGCAGAAGTTTAACACTAATGAGATACTGCTCTAAATACCATGTAATTAAGTTTGCACAGTTTTTTGAGCATCCATTACAGTGTTTGGCAAAGTCTACGTGGATTCAAAAAAACACATCCTGAAAGACCTGTCTAGAACATATTTTCAGTAATGGTTCTTTGCTAATTTCTATTTACATTTACTTTTAAAAGCAGTATTAGTAAGTAAGCAGAATCACTGCAGTGATATGAATAAGCAAACCCAATGTATAAGAAGTAAAGTTCATGTTACTTTGGTACAGAAGAATGCAAAAAGTGAGCCTGTTTCTGTATAATTGTTTTTGTGAAGTTTAGTGTGGGGTTTTTTTTGTGGTAAATAATTGCAATTTGCTGTAAAAATTGAAGCCTGCTGTAGGTGGCCCTGCTTTGAGTAGGAGAATTAGACCAGGTGACTTTCAGAGGTCCCTTCCATCCTCAGCCATTCTGTGATTATGCAAAATGAGAATGGGCTTTATTCCATTCATTTAAATTTCATAATTCTTTTTTTGGTGGAAACCTTTTGAAAAGCATGGCTTTAATTCTGAATTGCTTTGAAATAAATAGTTTTAAAAAGTGTAGAAAACTGAGTACTACGCACCCATGTAGTTAACGTGGTTCTGGTAGTCCTTGCCAAAACCTATTGGTGTTGTAGATGCAAAAAGTTCACATGGCTGCAAGGCAAGTCTGGTCTGCAAGTGTAAGAAGTCCCCTGAGTTGAAAATAGTTGTCTGCTGAGAGAGAATTAAAAGAGAAATATCAGATATGCATGCCCTTTCCTTTCTTCACTCTGAATGATTGTTTATGGCTAGGTAGGCCTTGGCTTGAACCAGTGTAGCTGCAGTGGGTTTAGTGAGTTGAAAAATTGTCTGATGTTGTGTTTGAAAATATTTTTGGTTGTTTTTTTTTTACTTCTACCTCTTCCCTTAAAAACAGATGAAATTGATAGCTCTTCGATGTCAGATGATGATCGAAAAGAGGTTGTCAACATCCAAACATGGATAAATAAACCTGATGTGAAGTATAATTTCCCCTGTAATGAAGTAAAAGAAAATGGACATATGTTTCCCAGGTACTGGAATTAGTTCTAAGCTTCATCAAAATGTCTGTCATGATACATATTTTATATATATATATATATAAGCCAGTTAAGTTATTCTTTATATTAAACTAGGAAATAAAGGTGTAAAACAACCTAGAACAAAATGTTAACACTATATTTGCATTCTTGTATTTGCAGTTTTACAGAATGGTAATTATGTACAAAACCTAGTATGAAGTCTTGCTTTGTAAAACAAGATAGTAAGAGAAGTATTCTCAGTATACATAGGCTTATTTTTCAAGACCAGGTAGACCCAAGTACCTGTGGCTCCTGTGTTTTTTTTTCTTGTCTACTTGTTTGTGCCTTTTAGTACACACCCATCTTGCCCCTAAAATTTAGTGACTTTGTTAATCTTGCAAGAGCAGAACATGCTTTGGCTTCCCCAAAGAGTACAAACCCTGTTGAATCTGGGTAGCAGAAAATTATGATAGACTTTCTCTTGGTCAGGGTCAGATTTGGGAACTTCCATCTGTCTCCCTCTAAGTAACTTATTTGTAGAATTTAACTTTCTAAGTAACTGGTATTTAGTTCATTAGCAAATTTAACATGTATTTTTCATTTCCTTAAAGTCATCTCCTAGTAACAGCAACTCATATGTACTGTTTGAGAGAGATTCCATCACGAAAGGGACTGGCGTACATACAGTCTCGACAGGCACTCAACTCTGTAGTGAAAATCACATCTAAGAAGAAACATCCAGAACTGATCACCTTTAAATATGGAAATAGCAATACTTCAGGCATAGAAATTTTGGCAGTTGAAAGGTAAGCCATTTCAGTAGCAGAGATGTTAACGATATCCAGAACACTGTAAACAGGAAATCAGGGGCATGCTATAATTCCCATAATTGAGCTGAAAAGTAATAGTTTTTATTTAGAAATAGATAATTCAAATGTGAACTAGAAAAAGGTCAGCAGAATGAGTAGAGTTTACAAGACCCAGCAGAGAGGAACTCCATGGTCTGCAATGACAGTTGCTGGGGATGGGATGCATGCAACTGGTTTGGATTTCTGTTATATGTCTTAAATGAAAACAAAGCAGACAGTACTGCAGCCAAAAGTGTGGATTTGTGAAAAGTGGCATTTCAGAAAGTGGTGTTTCTTCTGTGTTGTCTTTTCTGGGACATCAAACTCTTCCTGTGCATTGCAAAAGGAGTCCAGAAGCGTAACCTCAAAACTCTGAACCCCTGAAACCTGGTTCCTTAAAGTTAGGTATTGCCATGTGCAGCATTTGTGTGCTCAAGCTGGGGTTAGTCAGAGGAATGGGTACGTAGGGCTTGTTTTTTGCTGGCGTAGCCTGTTGTTTCTTGGCACTAACAAAGTTGGTGACACCACTTGGACATGTTCTCATCCTTTTCTTTGGGGAGAACAGTGTGCAGGGGTGCTCTGGTTTTACAAGAAGTGAATTTCCTAGCTAACTAGAGAAGTTGTTTTATGCCTGTTGACTTCTTAGAATTAAATTAGTTGGGTAGTAGGTCAGACACAGATAAACGAAAAGGTTGCAGAGAACTTTGCTGCTTGTTGAATTACTTCATCACCACCCTGTTGGCTGGAGCAAATCCAGAAGAGGGAGGATCATAAATATGATCTATATATAGAGCTATATATGAGAATTAAAATAAAAATAGAATATGAGGACTGCTGTGCTTCAGTCAGACAGTGCTGTCTGTAGAGATCCTAACCTCTCTGATTTATGCTACTGTCAATTAATGAAGAACTTTTTCTTTCCAGGATGGCCTGTGAAGTACTACTCAACAGTTCTAAGTTCACAAATGAAAGCATCTCGTAGTATAAATGGGAATTAAATGTTACTTTCTCAGTAATTTTTCATCTCAATATATTCCCCTCCTGCTTCCCCCTAGGTTGTGCCAGAAGAAAAATCAAAGCAAGAATTATGGAATTAATGCTCAATAATTTTATAGTGAATTAATGATGACTTTTTTTTTCTTTTTTAAGGTATTTGATTCCAAATGCAGGTGATGCTACCAAAGCCATAAAACAACAGATCATGAAAGTATTGGACGCCTTGGAGAGTTAATAACTAAAGACTTTTTAGAGAATGGTTTATAAAGAAGCAACCAAGATACTGTATGTGGATACAAGCTGACTGTTTCCCAACTGAATACTAACTTAAGAGAATTTTTCTGTTTGCTGATGGGAGTGCCTGAGTAGCAGGCTTAAGATAGGGTAAATTATTATCAACTTCTGATGGGATTTTTAATTTTTCAATTATATTGGTTTTGTTTTCAAGAAATGTTTATTATATAGGTCAGTTTGTTTCGTTTTTAATGCAGCTTTAATGTGAGTCATCTGTATCTGCAAGAGAAAATGCAGCTAGGCTTGCATTAAGTGTGTTAAAGCAAAGAAGCACTGCCAGATAGAGAGAAGCAGTTGAAAACAATGGATTTTAAATTTCTGTTGCTTGAAAGTAAAATATCTCCATTACATACAGTATATAAATTTGACTTAGCCTACTCACAGTATCACAGTGTGCTAGAGATTGGAAGGGACCTCAAAAGATCATCTAGTCCAATCCCCCTGCTGGAGCAGGAACACCTAGATAATGTTACACAGGAATGTGTCCAGGCGAGTTTTGAATGTCTCCAGGGAAGGAGACTCCACAACCTCCCTGGGCAGCCTGTTCCAGTGTTCTGTCACCCTCACTGAGAAGAAGTTTCTTCTCAAGTTTAAGTGGAACCTCTTGTGTTCCAGTTTGTACCCATTACCCCTTGTCCTATCATTGTTTGCCACTGAGTAGAGCCTGGCTCCATCCTCATGACATTCCCCCTTTATATATTTATATACACTAATAAGGTCACCCCTCAGTCTCCTTTTCTCTAAACTATAGAGACCCAGCTCCCTCAGTCTTTCCTCATAAGGGAGATGCTCCACTCCCTTAATCATCTTAGTTGCCCTGCGCTGGACTCTCTCCAGCAGGTCCCTGTCCTTCTTGAACTGAGGGGCCCAGAACTGGACACAGTATTCCAGATGGGGTCTCACCAGGGCAGAGTAGAGGGGAAGGAGGACCTCTCTCGATCTACTAACCACCCCCCTTCTAATACATCCCAGGATGCCTTTGGCCTTCTTGGCCACAAGGGCACAGTGTTGGCTCATGGTCATCCTGTCGTCCACTAGGACCTCCAGGTCCCTCTCCCCTACACTGCTCTCTAACAGGTCGTTCCCCAACTTATACTGGAACCTGGGGTTGTTCCTGCCCAGATGCAGGACTCTACACTTTCCCTTGTTATATGTCATCAAGTTATTCCCTGCCAACTCTCCAGCCTGTCCAGGTCTCGCTGGATGGCAGCACAGCCTTCTGGCGTGTCAGCCACTCCTCCCAGCTTAGTGTCATCAGCAAACTTGCTGATAGTACACTCAATTCCCTCATCTAAATCATTGAATGTATTAAATAATACTGGTCCCAGTACTGACCCTTGAGGCACTCCACTAGTTACAGGCCTCCAACTAGACTCCGCCCCATAGATTACAACTCTCTGGCTTCTCTCCTTCAGCCAGTTCACAGTCCACCTCACTACCTGATCATCCAGACCACACTTCCTCAATTTAGCTGCGAGGATGCTGTGGGAGACTGTGTCAAATGCTTTGCTGAAGTCAAGGTAGACCACATCCACCGCTCTGCCATCATCCATCCACCATGTTATTTCCTCATAGAAGGCTAAGAGATTGGTCAAGCATGACTTCCCCTTGGTGAAGCCATGTTGACTGCCCCTCATAACCCTCTTATCCTTGATATGCCTTAAGATGGCACCAAGGACAAGGTGTTCCATCACTTTCCCAGGGATGGAGGTGAGGCTGACCGGTCTATAGTTACCCGGGTCCTCCTTCTTGCCCTTTTTGAAGACTGGAGTGACATTTGCTTTCCTCCAGTCCTCAGGCACCTCTCCCGTTTCCCAAGGCTTGGTAAAGATGATGGAGAGCAGTCTAGCAATGAATTCCGCCAGTTCCCTCAGCACCCGCGTGTGCATCCCATCTAGACCCATGGATTTATGGATGTCCAGATTGCTCAACTGGTCTCTAACCCATTCCTCATCGACTAAGGCAAACCGCTCCGTTGACCTGACTTCATCTGAGGTCTCAGGGGTAAAGGACTCTTCAGGACTGCCTGCAGCAGAGTAGACAGAGACAAAGAAGGCATTCAGTAACTCTGCCATCTCTGTATCTTCTGTCACCAGGGCACCCATCCCGTTCATCAGTGGGCCTACATTGCCTCTGGTGTTAGTTTTATCTGCCATGTATTTGAAAAAGCTCTTTTTGCTGTCCTTGACCCTTCTCGCCAGGTTTAATTCTAAGGAGGCCTTAGTCATCCTAGCTGCCTTCCTACATCCTCTAGCAGCAGCCTTATATTCCTCCCAAGTGGCCAGCCCTCCTTCCATCACCTGTAAACTCTCCTCTTCCACTTGAGCATACCCAGCAATTCCCTATTTAGCCACACAGGTCTCCTGGCCCTCTTCCTTGACTTCCTATGTGTTGGGATGCTCTGATCTTGAGCTCGGAAAAAGCAATCCTTGATACTACCGAGTAGTATCAAGGACTGATTGATGCTTGGGTTTATGAGCAGAACATAAAGATCCTAGCAGTACTGGATCCTTCTCATTAGAAATGGTTAAGTCCAGCTTGGGCTGCAGATAAATGGAAAAATGCAAGCAATTTGTAAAATTGACTTTTTTAAAAGTCTTATCCACTACTGTGTTAAATAATTTGAAATGTTGGTAGGGTATTTTTAAATCCTAAAACAAAGTGTGGAGAATAGGCTTTTACTACAGGGTTGTGATTATTTTATTTTTGTTAATTATGCAAAATTTCACATTTCATAGGTTGAGGCTGTTTCTCTTGTAAAGATGAACGTGTGTGTTGAAATGGAAGTTAATGCTTCTTGACAGAATGTGGCAGTTGAAAATAAGTTACCTTGCTCCTCAGAAACAGAATTTCTAAGATAGTAATTAGACCTTTAACAGCCTTCAGTTCAGCACAGAAGTATGTGCTGATTGAAGGTGTGTTCAGTAAGAAAATGAGCACACACAAAGTGAAGAGATTCAAGCACTATATGCCTGTGATAAATGTATTCATTATCTGTTGCCTTCATTGTTTCAAGCATTTTCAACTAACATCATCTAAACTAGTAAATGTTTCAGAGATAGCAGCTGTGTGATTGCTTATCAGCAGTTTTCCACTTGTTCCAAGAGCTGCTCTCTTGTTAAATAAGTTCAGTACAGGAATGTCCTTGTGGCTGAGGCATAGCATCTTTAGAGGCTGATGTGGAAATTACCAAAATGAAAATGTGTGAACTTGTGCAGCACTGGGAGGTAAAATAAATGAAACTGATCTTTATAAAAAGTCATTCTAAGTTATTTTACTTGGAATCAAGCTGGGGCACCTTAATTCTGGGACTAACTCCTTTATTTCTTTATTTCTTTTTTTTTTTTTTTTTCTGTATTAGTATCTAAGTACACACCAATAGAACTTGAACTGTTGAAGATATTTGCATGAATTGCACCTGGGCCAGTGCTCACGTATTTATAGTTTTGCCCAGAAGCTGTTTTATTACAATTTCCTCTTCCTACTCCCTTCTGAAAATTTCCTGAAGAGTCTCTGACTCTGTGCCTACTTCAGCAATGAGATCTTTTTCATGTAAAGATGTTTGTGTTACTGTTTATAAACTGCAGTTGTAAATAAACCAGTGCAATTTGAACATAACTTGTTCTGCCTGAAAGCATTTAGTTGCATACTGTTTGAGTTCTCTGAATCAACAGTTTTTCCTAAGGGTATTTTGTGAATGGAAGTGAATTTGATCTTTGGAGTGGAAGAAACTGATTATGGATCAAATATGACAAAACGATACAACACATTCTACTAGTCATTGGCAGGGTGGTGTGTAGAAAGTACACTCAGTTGTTAAACAGGTGTATTTGGGTATTAAATATGGAAAGTGGGTAACATGCATGCTTCTCTGAGGACCACAAATACAGACCTTTTCAGATCTACAGAAAATAAAGCTACAGTCAGTTCTTGAATCTCTTCTGTGTAGGAATGTATAATCCAAGCCTAATTATTTGTAATTTTCTGAGACAATGTGCAAGTTATCAACAGACTCCTGATCTTACGAAGCTCAGTCCGAACTATGAATAATTTCAGTGCTGTTTTATGCCTCTCTACCCACAATTTAAAGGCTACTCTTGCCTCAGATGCATATGCATCTGTAGTTAGTGTGTCTGTTAAAAAACCTGTATTGCTAAGCAGAAAATCCAATTATAGTACTGGAGTGACTGTTTCTGAAAAGAAAAAGCTCTTCTACTTCCTGTCCATCTTGGAGGAATTTTTTTTTTTTTTATTATTTTGCCAGAGGTTTGCAGCCTCTTGTTTTATTTTGCATGCACTGCTGCCTGTGGTTGTGAATGTGAGATGACAGCTGCAGTGTTGCTGGGGGCTTAATTTTTATTTTAATCTGTTTTGGTGATAGAAATAAGGTCTGTAATAGGAAAAATCCACTCTTAGAGTAAGCTCTCTTGCTAAATGGGAGCTCTTTTGTGTTTTGTAGCCAGGGTCAGTGCTTCTGTGTTCACTGATCGCTCTTCAGTTCTCACAAATCCTTGTAGATTCTGATCTCTATGAGAATTTGTACAGAACTTCTCGTGTATTACCAAAAATACTCGTGACGCTGGAGGTGCAGTTTTATTTACACTGCCTTTTCCAGATGTAATTGAAGATTACTTGCTGCTCTTGCAGTTTAGACCCTGTTAGGCCTTACTGTGGGTTTTACACATGCATAAGATATGGATCACTCTGGGTTACTCATCTTTGCCCCTTCTGCTCTCATCTATTTTCAACTCGTGGAGATACTATTGCATGAGCAGTACTGCCTCTACACAACATGAACCTACAGTTCTACTAACTGGCTTTTAAAAATCTCAAGATTGTAACATAAATACATGAGGCAGCAGTGCTCTGTATTGAGTAAAGGGGAGCACTCAGTGTTTAAAGCTAGTAATAAAAACAGCATGGCAGTTAGCATTTTGAGTAGTAGCTTAGGAGATGCTGTTCTCGTAAAGGAAGATGGTGATTCCCAGGTGAATAAGTTAGCTGTAAACTCGTACAGACCTCTTGGAACGAGCCCTTAGCAAACATTAACACGTGCTAGGGCTGGCACACCAGCTTCGTGGGGCACCAAGAGGCTGAGATGCTTAGCGGTGTTTTTGCCAGGTGCTGATTTGGCACCACAGCTGTACTCCCAGGAAAGCCTCAGCGGCACTTAGGCCCCGAGATACTTCATCCCCTGAACCTTCCTGCACCGCTGCCTGACAAAGCTGCCGTGGGGAAGCTCTTCAAAATCGGGTCGAGGAACGAGCCGGACTTCTGAAGGCAGGGTAAGGTTGGTTTTCACATCGGTACTGTGGAGGAAGTGCGCCTGCGCTTCTCCCTCCGCGACACTGGTGGACTACAATTCCCGGCAGG